CTTTTTTTTTCTTTCTTTTCTTTTTGTCTCTTTTTTCTTCTCTTCTTTTTTCTTTTTTCTTTGTTTCTCTTTTCTTTTTTCTTTCTCTTCTTTTTTTTTCTTTTTTCTTTTGTTTTTTCTTTCTTCTCTTCTTTTTTCTTCTTTCTTTTCTTTGCTTCTCTTTTTTCTTTTCTTTCTCTTTCTCTTTGCTTCTCCTTTTTCTTTTCCTTCTTCCTTCCTTCCTTCCTTCCTTCCTTCCTTCCTTCCTTCCTTCCTCATCTATTTTGAGAGAGACAACAACATTGCGAGTGGTGGAGGGGCAGAGAGAGAAGGGGAGAGAGGGAATCCCAAGCAGGCTCCCCGCCACCAGCGCAGAGCCTGTCGCAGGGCCTGAACTCATGAAACCGTGAGATCACGACCTGAGCCGAAACCAAGAGTCGGACGCCCAACCGACTGAGCCACCCAGGCGGCCCTCAGAGCTGGAGTTCTCTTAAGGAACCGACGACTGTTCGTGCCTCTCGCCCACCGCTCCTCCTCGATGGGGAGCGCTCTGGACGGCCGCAGGGATCATCCAGGTGGTTGCTCCCCCGCTCAGGGCGGGCCAGCCTGGGGCCACAAGGGCCGTCTCTTCTCGCCCTGCCGCTCGGACCTCAGTGACACTCACTTGTGCCACCATCTCCGGGGACTTGGCAGCGACCACGTGCACCACGCCCAGCTCCCGGTCAGTCCCGGATGCTCGAGAAGCTGCGGACAGGATTAAGTTACCGTCCCACGCTCTGTGTGCGGAATCTCCCCCCCCACCCCCCTGACTTTTCCAGGTGCCAACCGGCAGGTCCGGGGTTTTGCACACAAACCCGGGCTCCTGGGCGCTGGCCGGGCCTCCCCGCCGCCCTGTGCTGGGCCGGCCCCAGCTCAGACGCTCCCCCTCTCTTCCCAGTTTCCTGGTGTTTCTCCGGTACCAGTGTTACTATGAGTACCCGCTGCTGACCTACCTGGAGTATCCCATTCTCACCGCACAAGGTACCCGGCCCCTCGGACCCCCTCCGTGTCGGGCAACAGCCCTTGGGGCCCCCCCCCTCCCGCCTCCCTCACAGCCTTTCTCTTTCAGATGCCCTCCTCCTGCTGTGTGCCTTCCATTTCAACGGGAACGTGAAAGGAGCAGCCCCGTACGTGGCCGTGTATCCTTTTCGTTGTCCAGGGATCCGGTGGGACCGGGGAGTCAGGTGCTTTTGCCAGATCTGCGTTCTTGTGGTCAAACCGAAAAAGATCCCAAATGCGCGAGAGTGAATATGTACCCTGCCCGGGGCCTCCCCCCACCCCGAGCCCGGGGCACCAGGCCCGTCCCAGCTCCATTCTTCAGGGGAGGCGGAGACATTTCTTCTTCCCTGAGAAAACGTCCCCAAGTACGCGAAGTCATAATAACGGGAATGTCTGTCGTGAACCCCGAGGCCACTAACGCGCCCTCTCTGCCCCACAGTGTGGGCGTGCGGGTTCTGGACGGCTGGTTCAAAGCGAAAATCGTGGCCAAGACATCAGAAGGGTCTTGGGGGTGGGGGGGGGGGGGGGCATCTGGTCGTGACGCAGACCTATGCTCGCTCACGGTGCCTCTTCTGTGAACAGGGGCCGGGCTCTTGTTTCGGTTCTGTAAACCTTCAGAGGTTCTCTTGGGAATTCACGGTCCTTAAAAAGCCAGGAAAGCCTTACCAGTGGCAGCCAGTTAACGCGGCCGTGTCTGTTAAGTGACCCGAGCGGGTTACTCGTACACCCGCAGGGTGGAGGAGAGAGGGAGGGCACCCTTCCTGTCTGCGCTGGGCTGGGCGCCTCGGGACGTGGAGGCTGGGGGACACCTGCTGCGCCCACCCCCTGGGTGTTCGTGGGCACAGGCCGGGAGCTCCCTAAGCTGCAGTTGTCCTGTCCCATCCCGCCTGTGAGATGACACAGTCATGCCTACCTTGTGGCAAGGATCACAGTACCAGGAGCACAGGACAAGCTGAGCAAGCGGCAGCCTCACGGCGGCTGTCCGACCGGGCGGCTGTGTAGGGAGGGGACTGAGTCCTGAGCCCCTGCTGTCTGTACCCATCCTCCCCACTCAGCTTCTCTCTGCGCAGCTCTGCCCAGCCGATAAAAGGGTCTTGAAAACAGTACTTTGAAGATGAAAAGCGTCGTGTCGTTTACTGTTTAAATAAAATACGACAATTTACCTTTGTACGGGTGGTGAGGCTGTGGACTGCAAAAGCTGGGCAGCTCCCTGGGTGGGCGGAATACTTATAACCTCCTCCTGTGAGTGGTGATGAACCAGAAGTAGGGTTACCATAGTAACTGATTTTTTTTTTTTAAAGCATAAGTGTGTCCCAAATATTGCATGGGTCATACCATACTAAAAGACTATTTTTGTTGGTCTGAAAATTCAAATTTAACTGGGTGCCCTCTGTTTAAGAAACTGAGTTCGAGTGTTTTAAAAACAAGATTTCACCTGCCTACGTTCCAGCTGCCGTTCTGGAGTTGACCAGGTTGCCAGGAATTCGTTCTAGTCACACCGGGCATTGTCTCTTTCGACCCCTCCATTGAAGTAATGTCATTCATTATAATCGTAGCGCGTTGGGTCCCTGTGACGTGCACCGAGGCCCTGAAGGGGTAGATGGGGCAAAGGAACGTTAAGACCGTTTTGCGGATAAGCAAACCAAGGTCAAAAGAAGGAATGGGACTTGCCCAAGGTCACAGCAGAGGCTGGTGGCCATCCCCTCACCCGCCCGGCTTCTGGAGCCGGACTTTCTGTGCTTTTTGCCGCCTCACTGGGCGTGATGAAAATCCGCTCTCGTTCCTCCTGTCCCCACCTGGGTTTACACTGGGGTTAGCAGGAAAGGGGGAAAGAGAGTTTCACGTGACCCCAGTTTTGCAGAACGTGCCTGCCCTATAATGTTGAGCTGCTTCTTTAAATGCCTTGCTTTTGACATCACCCTGGAGAGGTCTGCATGGCTGGGAATGAAGTGGGCGGGCAGAATCGTTGAGAACCACAAAGGCGGGGCGCTTGGCAGTTTTCTTCCCGTGATCTGCTGTTATGTTGAGCCACTTTCGTCTTTTCCAAATCGGACCGGTCCTCGCAGAGCCTTTCCCAGGTTGGCTTATGTGCGTCACCTCCGTGCTCTTGGCGTGTCCCCACGGGCGCGGGGTGGGGGGCGGCCGAGCCACTGCTGTCTCCCTTAGCGCTCGGTAGATTTGTGGCCTCGTGGTTCGTCCTTCCCCTGCAGAAGTGGATCATGGATCTGGCCATGGTAAGTGCATCGCCCCTGGAGAAGAGAGACCACCGTTCCTGCAAAGAACTTGATGGGCCGAGTGTTTAACCTGCTAACTGAAGGATAAGGGGTTGAAAGCGCAGTCCTACCCCAATGTTACAAGACGTTAGTCTCACTCAGGCGTTTGGTAACATTTTCTTCCTTCTTGGGGGGGGGGGGCGTAGAGCACCTGGCTGGGGAGGTAATTAACAGCAACAGAATGAGCAACGGTGGTAGAATAAGCCTAAAATAAAGAGCTTCTTATCAGGTTAATGATTACACATTGGCTACATACTCATTTTTTTTTTAATTTTTTAATGTTTTTTTTTTTTAATTTATTTTTGAGAGAGAGAGAGAGAGAGAGAGACAGAGCATGAGTGGGGGAGGGGCAGAGAGAGCGAGAGGGAGACAGAAGCAGGCTCCAGGCTCTGAGCTGTCAGCAGAGTCCGACGCGGGGCTTGAACTCACAAACTGTGAGATCGTGACCTGAGCCGAAGTCAGAGGCTTAATCAGCTGAGCCACCCACAGGCCCCATACTCATGATTTTTTTTTTAACTTTGCCCCTCTCCCCCCGAAACATTTTTGTCCTTGGAAAACGGTTAGCCCTGTGCGTTTATCCTACCTTGGGTAAGGCCCCAAAGTCCCATAGTGTGAGAATAGGGCTCCGAGTGTGGGTCAGGGAGCATTTGAGCCCAGATCCTCTCTCCAAAGTGACTGGATTCCGCTTCTCCACCCAAAGGGAGAAGGAGAAGGATCGGTGGTCACACCCAGGCTCATGAACTTCACCACCCCCTCCCCAGCGTCTTGGCTGTGACCCTTGCTTGGAAGGGTGTTACATTCCAACCTTGTGACCTACGGGGAGCAAATGGGCAGGGTTTTAGCATAAATCTGTCCCAAATATTGCACGGGACGTACCTATGCTAGAAATTACTTGTTGTTGATCTGAAATTCAAGTTTCCCCGGGCGTCGTGTATTTTTATTTGCGAAATCTTTCCGGGCCTTGGTTATGAAGACTCCTTCTTCTTGATTCCGAAGATGGCATTTCCTCCTGAAGACAGATCCGGTGGAAGGTCCAGCAGACGTGGTTAGCGTATCTGCTCGGCAGTGGCCTTCCCCCTGACACGAGTGGACAGGGCCCTACCTAAGTCCTCGTGCCCAGGCTTTCCGCAGGCCCGGTCCTCCGTGCTCGTGGTCCCGACCCAACTACCCACCGGCCGGGGCTGCAGACGCCGTCTTCCCACCTGGCGTCAGTCGTCCGAGCCATGTGCTCCCGGCGTGACCTGTCTTCGGATCTGAGCGCAGGCCCTTGCTCTCTGCCTGGAGTGCTCACTCGCCCGGACTTCTCCACAGTCCTCCCATGTCCCAGCCGCCCCTTCCCTCCTCCGCCTTTACCAGGACGTGTTGCTGTAACCCAATAAGAACGGGTCAAGGGCCAGTCCCGCGACAGGTGCGGGGGACCGAGCAGAGCCAGACCCGATGCCCCACCCCCAACCCAGTCATGTTGCTTTCCTCCTGAGGGTCGGAAGTTAAACGGGCTGCTCCGGTCAAGGACACCAGCCACTTGCATTCGAGCTGGAGCCAGTGGCGCTCGCTGGTCCTCACCTTGGTCTCTCTGTAGCATTTGCTGCCCCAGCTCAGGATTCCCCCTTGGATCCTTTGGTTCTCTTGACTTCCGGGGCGCCTTGCCCCTGGTGTCCCCTCCACCTACAGCACAGGCCGGGCCCCGCTCGCCGGGGAGGGCGCTGTGGCGCCGCAGGCCAACTCGTGGTGGTCTCTTACCTCGTGGGGCAGTAGAGGGCCTGAGCGCAGCCCCTCAAGGACTGGTTGGAATAGCTAGAAATTCAGAGCCCGTGTGCCTCGCCTGCTGCTTGGACTTTGTGTGTTCAAAGCAGCATGGTTTTCCCCAGACTCTAAAACACCATATCTCTCTATCATCTGTCTATCCGTCATCTATCCACCCATCTGTCCATCTATCCATCCATCATCTATCTTATCTATCTACTTATCTATCCATACACCTATCTTATCTATCTTATCTCTCCGTCTATCCATGCACCCACCCATCTATCTTATCTATCTATCCATTCATCCATCTATCTTCTCTATTCATCTATCTTATCTCTCTCTCTCTCTTATCTGCTTTTATTGGCAGGTGGTCAGATGGATAAGCCTTTGTGGCCATGCAGTGATCCTTACTCCCACCTCCACACCAGCTGCACGCCCACCAGTTACCCACTGAACAGTGGGATTGGTGCATTAATAAACCAGCATCTCGCTGCTGCCTGCTTTTTCACCGAACCCGGGCTTTGTCCTTGTACAAACCGGTTGTCTCTTGTCCTGACAGTTTGGCTTCAGAAGCGCGCTCAGTATATGGCGCTCTTGTTTCTTTAACTGAGGGACTCCTAACTTTCTCATGTTTTGCCTGCAAACAGAATCTAAGTACTTTCATCAGCGTGGCCAGCAAGTTTGCTCAGCTCCAGTACCTGTGGAAGACCAGGGACTCAGGCACCGTGAGCGCCCTCACCTGGAGCCTCGCTGCATACACCTGTGCAAGTAAGAGCCAGCCGCCATCCCCCCCCCCCCCCCCCGTCACGGTCCCACAGGCTTTAATCCTTTGCACATAGAACCTCCAAGTGGATCCGTATTTATGATTCTGATGGCACGCGGGCTACTTTCCATTCTCTGCAAGATCCCTATTCCACTTGCTAAAAACAGATGTGAAACACCCCTTTCTCCCAAAATCTGGCTGAACATCAACAGTCCTGTTTTGCTCTTTGAAAAGCATCAATAGGTTGATTATATTGAATCCACTAACTTGTTTTTAAAATATGACCCTTTATGATGTAACAGATGAGAGATGAGAAGCATACATTGGCTTTTGAGAATGAATAGACTTTGCCAGGGTGTGTTCCTGGAGCCATGTTGTTTGGTCTCAAGTTCAGAATTTCCACTGTTCATCTGGATTCTTGCAGGAACCTAAAATATATACATATATATATACCTATATATATATACACACACATATATATACCTATATACATATACACACATATATATACATATACATACATATATATACCTATATATATATGTGTGTATATATATATACACACATGCTATTTTAGGTAGAAAACTTTAAAAATTCAGGGCTGTGACGTTACTTAGATTTATTAGTTTTAGGTATTCGAACTATGCTTCATGTTTCTTCTGTGTATTAATGGACCGATTTCTCCATCAGGGGTTTCTGGGAGGGGTCTTTACGTCCCAAGTTATGTAAAATTAAGTTTTCTTGGGTTTTGTTTTTAGCTTGAGATGTTGACAGTGTTATGATATATATATATATACACACACACACACACACACACAAATATATATATAGTTAGGAAATATATATACATATATACATGTATATATGTATATAGGTGTATGTATATATGTATATATATGTTTCTGGAATTGCTGATTTGATATATTACTTATTAGCTCCCTAATTTTACCTTCAGGTAATCTTAAGTGTTGTTTCTTAAATTTTCTTGTAGGAAATCTTCGGAACTTGTAACTTTAAAGACCATGTATTATATTTCCATCTGTTTTGCATGGTACTCTGTGCTTGAACAAGTCCTTAAATACATATTGGATACATGACAAACCGAGGATTATAACTTTATGGGGAAAAAGTGAACTGGCTTTAAACCTAATTTCCTAAATGTGTGATGTGTGAGGCAGAGGGAGAGTTTTGTGTGGGTGGGTTCGGGTCAGGAAGGAAGGGCAGGCGTTGAGTTACAGGTAATGTCCTCGAAATCCCACGTCACATCTCCCACACGTGTCTCCTGTGGCCACGAAGGAAAGCGCTGTACCAGACAAACGAATTGAACGGAACAATTCTAGTTAGACCTTTAGGGAAATCATTGCCCTTTGCTGGGCCTCAGTTTCCTTTACCTAGAAAATCTCTACAAAAGAAGGGGGTCAAGTTCAGTCATTTAAAAACCTTGCTTTTTGTTAGTGGAAGCCTTTCTTTATTATTATTTTTTAATTTATTTATTTTGAGAGAGACGGCGTGAGTGGGGGAGGGGAGGGGCAGAGAGAGAGAGAGAGGGAGAGAGAGAATCCCAGGCAGGCTCCGTGCTGTCAGCACAGAGCCCGATGTGGGGCTCCAGCTCATGAAGCCGTGAGATCATGACCTGAGCTGAAGTCGAGAGTTGGACACTTAACCGACTGAGCCACCCAGACATCTCTGTTGTTAGTAGAAGCCCGTCTTTAAAGTAAACCTTACCAGAAGTCCCATACGTATGAGATTTTCCAAACGTGCTCTTTGGGGTGGGGGAGCTGTGGCTGGGCACACACCGTGGGTTCTCGGCTTCTCCCCGGTCCCTTGGGCAACACTGCTTCTGCTCTTGGGAGAGCCTCAAAACCACTGGGCTAGGACGCATGGCTGGCTTTGAGAGGTTTTATAAAATACAGTACCGATTTGGTGTTCCGTACTACCAAGATCTTTCAGGAACAGTTAGCATCTATTCCTGTATTTGAAATGGGAAGACGTTAGCTGAATACCGACATAGCTGAGAAGCAAGTTGACATTGTTGAATATCTTCTCTTACAGCAAGAATAATAACAACGATAATGACCACCGGCGATCTTACGAGTAAGCGAAATCTTTTTTCTTCCCATTTTTTTGGACTGCGTGCCCTTGGTGGCTCTTCCCAAGTTGTCTTAGGGTTTCACGGATCAGCTTGCTCCACGTACAGTTAGAGGCCACGGTGTATTCCCAGGCGTCAGCCCCCGCTTACAGGGCTGAGCACCTACTTCGTGTTAGCGCCAGGGATACGGCCTGCAGCATGAGGTCGTAGACTGCTGTCTTCGTGACGCTTCCACGCCAGCAGTGGGTGGAGACGGACGGTGCGGTCAGCGCACAATTAGCTATTCAAGAATACTGGGAAATGTGTTCTGGAAAAGCAGGCCAGGAGGAGCACCTGATGGGGGAATGTGACCTGGCTGGAGGGGCCTGGGGAGGTGAATTTGAAGAGACAGATGGGGGGACGGGGGAAGAGACGATGACAAGCCCGTGAGCGGGGGACACGTGGCTTAGCCATGGAGAGTGAACAGGAGGGCTGGGGGTGAGTGAGGACGGACTCTACTGAGGTGACAATCATTTGACCCCCACATCCTTGGTTTTTTTTTTTTGTTTTTTTTTTTTAAGGGGGACACTGTGATGGAGGAGAAGATATGTGGGTTGATGTAAAAAGAACTTAGTAATTCCCTAGGCTGTCTTCCACCCCCCAGCCAAGCGTATACATTTTTGGAAAAGAATGAAAACAAATGGTGTCACCCATTCTATGAAGACTAGAGACATGTTCCTGGTACACATACCGGTTAATTGTTCCTTGAGAAATATGGCTACAGGAGAGTGAGGCACCCCTGTCCCTTTGCAGAGACTGTATTTTGGGCTGCAACACCTTCTGTCAGCAGTGAGCAAAACACTAAAAGTACTGTGGTCAAACCATAAACTTGGGTCAAGTGGGGAAAGATAGGTCTGAGTCTTCTCCGCAGGACTTGAAGAATCCTGTGTATGGGAAGAAGAATCCAGCCGTAAGGAAACAACAAAATGAACCTACGTATTACAATTTTGGAAGATTGGGAATGTTCTAGCTATGGTTTGCTTTGTAGTTAAAGTGACAGCTGTTCCTGAAAGCGATCAGTGTATCTGGGGACAATCTTTTAGGAACAGCTTAGCTGGTATCTTACAAATGTTTCACAACCACAAAGATACATTAACTCTCCTCAGGGGAGTGTTCGTCGAGTCACTTAGGGTAAAGTGCTCTCCCCCCAGAAATATTTGGAAGCAGGTTTGTTGAAAAGTTCCCACGAGGCGGTGTTGTGAATCTTACGTGGTAGACGGGGGTGGGGGTGGGCAGTTATTTAGGCTTTTAGGCTTCTACTTAGAGCGGTAGGGCAGGAGTGATTTTGCATTAGAACGTGAAAACAGTACTCTTTAACATACTTTTTCTTTTTGATCGATTTCAGTTCTTACACGTTTCGTGATCATGCTTGCTTTAAACGTGTGGGTAACCACCACGGTCCTTCGCTACAGGAAGACGGCGGTAAAGGCTGAGTAACAGATGCGCTGCCCCTCCACACGAAGTGGATTCCTAATAACTGAAGCAAAGCTCACTGCTGAATCAAGGTCTCTTATAAGTTTAGTCAATGGCTTCAGAAACGCTGAATTGGAGCCAGATGTATTTTGGACAGGAGCCACTTAAACACTTGTTGAGAAATGTTGATTTCCTTCCCACTCCTCCCCTTTGTGAGGCGGAGGCAGGTCTCGGACACCTGCAAGTCGAGCAGTCAAGACCATGCTTTTCAGCTTTCAGAATCTTCTAAGAAATAAATCCTCTCTAGAGCACAAATGATTATGAACGGAGTGGGATTTTACTCAGTCAGAAGTGAAATTGTAGTAAATTACCAGGGTCACTTTCTGGGGCAGTTTTTTTAATATAGATGTAACAGGATGGCCTTGCTGTATCATAATACACGATAATGCCTCCTTAGGCTATAGTAAGGATATCGAGGCAAGCAAAAACGTTAATTGGCTCAAGTTTATACACCCAAGTAGTGCTGTAACTTCATATAGTGCCTTTAGTTCCTAAGGAAAGGTCGATTGGCTGCAGTCTCTACAGCAGGATGAGGCAGTCCCGATGAGCTTTCTGATTCAAGCACAATGCTGCCATCTTTAAGAGTCACACCTTTGAAAAACAAAAATGTCCACTGAAAATAGATGCAGTAAAAGGTATTGCTGGGGTGCTGTCAACTTCTTACGGATTTTATTCTTGTTATATTCTAAACGTGATGTTAGGATTACTGGACACTGCATTTTACCGTAAAAGTTTATAAACGCTAGAATTTAAAAGCTCTTTCCCTTTATAATTGAATGACATTGTTATACGTAATAAGTAAATGATGTTTATTAGAAAATGTTTTAGTGTCCTATGTAAGATAAATAAATCATTCTGTAGTTTTTAAAATCCTAGTTGTCATTTTTTTTTTAATTTTTTTTTTCAACATTTATTTATTTTTGGGACAGAGACAGAGCATGAACGGGGGAGGGGCAGAGAGAGGGAGACACAGAATCGGAAACAGGCTCCAGGCTCTGAGCCATCAGCCCAGAGCCCGACGCAGGGCTCGAACTCCCGGACCGCGAGATCGTGACCTGGCCGAAGTCGGACGCCCAACCGACTGCGCCACCCAGGCGCCCGTAATTTTTTTATTTATGTAAGCTCTACACTCAACGTGGAGCCTGAACTCACAACCCCGAGATCGAGTCACATGCTTATATTAACTGAGCCAGCCAGGCGTTCCTCACAGTTGTCAATTTAAAAAAAGTCCAAGTGAACCTTTTCTCATATGCAATTATAATCTAACCATTAGGAATAAATACAAATTAGGTGATTTGAGTCCATTTTATTTAAATATACTTCTTAGAAATTTATCATTGCTTAAAGCTTCTCCTTTAAGAAAATACTATCTTAGGGGCGCCTGGGTGGCCCCGTCAGTTGAGCGTCTCTTGATTTTGGCTCAGGTCCCCATCTCATGGTTCATCTCATGAGCTCAAGCCCCGCGTCGGGTTGCGTGCTGACAGGATCCTGCCTGGGATTCTCTCTGCCTTCCCACCCCCCCACTCCACACTCTCTCTCTATGCCTGTCTCTCTTAAGTAAACTTAAAAAATAAAAAGAATACACACTCTTAGGTGAAGAGTTCCCCATTTTTCCCCCCTTTGGCAGAAAAGGGAACAAACATTTGAACTATTCCAGATATCCTACGCACATTATCATATTTAATCCTGCAACAATCCTGTAAGTAAAAGTCTCCGTTTTACAAAAGATGTAAACACTGAAGCTGAATAACCTGTCCCGGATCCGGCAGCCAGTAAGCATCCTAGATAAGAACCCACTGGTTACAGGGGCGCCTGGGTGGCTCAGGCGGTTGAGCATCCGACTTCGGCTCAGGTCATGATTTCGCGGTTCATGGGTTCAAGCTGTGTCAGGCTCTGTGCTGACAGCTCAGAGCCTGGAGCCTCTTTCGGATTCTGTGTCTCCCTCTCTCTCTCTGCCCCTCCCCCGCTCATTCTGTCAAAAATAAAACAACAGAAAAAAGAACCTACTGATTACCAAAGAAATAACTTTCTTGAAAACTACCTCTCAGCAAAACAGGCACTCTGCATCTTTTCCTTATCCTGGACACTCAAATGAGATTGTTTGATTTGCAAGTCCCTCAAAATACCTAAATCAGGCCAGCAACAGACTCCTTATTGAAATTCTATTTTTATTTCTCCACGGACTAAAAGACACGGCTGAGCATTCACAGGTCTGTGACCTTAGTTATGATTTGTTTTGCTACACACCCATCTTTTTATATGTATCTTTCAGGGAAGGCAAACATTCTGGGTAAGTATCAGAAGGCTGCAGCATTCTGGGACTATTTCACAGGAAGAGTATGAAAATGCTCCGGTCTTAATTTCTTTTATTTAATTTTTTTAATATAAAAAGCAGGCATAAAATACAATTACATTACTACAAAGATGCAACAAAAAATTTTTTAAAAAGATCGGGGGGTACGATTTTTGTTCAGAGGGGACAGCTGATCAAATATTTACGATTATCTAAACCATGCAATTCATAACTTAATACAATTCCAAACAAAACTCATTACTATGGGGAAGGGAATCAGGGACAGGCCCCCCAAGCATAATATTCAGCACTGTCACACAGCGCCTATTTTCAAAGTGCTTTGTGAATCAACTATGGTGTCTTCACGCCAGAGGGAAACTGGAGCCTTCTTCCAGGGGAGGAGACGTGATTCAGTAGCAGTGTCGACACAGACCGAGAAACTCAGAAGTGACTTCCTCTCACAGAATACTAAACATGTTATTTAAAGCATGTTTCAAGAAAGTAATACAGCGTCTAAGTTTCTCTATTTTACCACCAGAATCCTGTGGGAACAGATTAACAACAGCAGCAAAATTTCTTCAACTGTGGTTTGGCAAACCTAGAGTATTTCTTTTTGAAGGTCTACAGATGAACCGACACAAAAGACATCGTTCAGAGCCAGATTTGTGACTCCAGCACAGGTCAATTTTAAAACACTCACCTTATTTTAGATTTCTCGGTATCCTTTAGATAGCTAAAGGCATTTACAAATTTCAGATTTTTTAAAAACCTTGCTTCTAGATAGCACGTTTTTAATACTTTTCAAAACCTCACTATACATTAATTTTTACCAGTAACACCGGCACCAGTTTTCCTTCTACTTCGGTCTCGCTATCCCCACTAAAGAAAAGTACAAAATCCAACTAAGAAAATCCCAGTATTCACTACTTCTTAGCTCTCAATAGGAGGTATTTATGGCTCTAGGAGAAATCAGGTGTGAAGAAATAAGCAACTTCTGGTCTTGCATTTATCTGGGAAGCTCTGGAGCCTCAAGAAAAAGAGAAGCTGGCACAAAATCAGGTTGTTAAACCGAGTCAATGTTGTATTTAATGAGTGCTGGGAAGAGGACACTTGGATAGGGGTATGCATTCATGCACGTACGTGAAATGAGCAAAAGGGTAAAAAGCAAACTCTTACCCAAGGTCAGAATTTTTATTAAGCGCATTTCCATTAGCTGGAGAAACGACCTAAAAACCCTTATGTTAAACTATATAATGTGAAGAATCTCCATGGGAGAGATTTTTTCCCACCCCTTAGAATACTTTCTTTTCCCCAAAAAACTTCACATTAATTTTCCTTGTATAGCTGCAGCACACCATGATTCTCCATATTCTCTAATATATACAGCATTCAAAATTTAAACTTTTGCCATTTTTACTCAAATATTTCAATTACTCATGTGTAAACTTCAAATTATTTCACCTTAATAAAGTTTATTAAAAATATATATATATATATATACTCTCCAATTCAGAATAATATGATAGAACCTCCCATAGTGTAACAAAATCTTTATATAAAATATTAATTCAGTCTCCTTTTAACAAGTCTAATGAATGGAAATATTTATTCTATATAAATTTTATATAGTTCTCATTTTTAAATCTTAAAAACAAAAAACCAAAACCAAAAACAAAAACAAAACCCCAAAAAAACCAAAAGCTGTGTCCCCAAGCCAGAACCGCAGAACATCCCGGGGAGGGACATGGCATGCGTGTCCGGACTCAGCACAGACAGCGTGAGAGAGCGTAGGCGGGACAATGTGAGAATGACAAGATTCAGGTTTAGTCCATCAGGCCAGAGGCCACGGTTCAATTTCCACAACAGTGTCTATATTTTGGGGGTCTAACTCTTTAACCATTTCTACACTGACCCCAAGGGGAGTCAATGAAAAAGGTCTATTTCCTTCATTGAAATATTAGATGATGTATTTCAGTATCACACCAACTCCGTATGTATATAAAGAGACTAATAAAAGACTACATACTTTTTTCAAACTTGATAACTTAGCATTGATGCATACTGTAGCAGTAAAAAACACATTTTTCTGGGATAATGAGAAATATGGCAGAAGTGGTCCTGCATAACCTACAACTTTAACATCATTTAAAAAATAAAAATCAAGTTAAGGGCCTTTGAGGCCACTTCTTCCTAGTCACCAGTTTTCTTAACCCAATACTGAAATATTGCCATACTCAGTTGTGTGTTTGAGGGATCACATTTAAATATTTAAAATATATCTACAGTATGTCTTAGTTTTCTTTATATTTGAGATAATCTTAGAATCTTGAGTGTGAAAATGTAGAAACAGTCACAAATGTCTCTGCCAGAAATAAAAACACATCTAGGGTAGCCAGCAAATTCAAAGCGAAGCAAACATTTCCTACTCATACACTAATACTGAGGTCTGTAAGCAGAGTGGGATGAATAATAAACATAAAAGATATATTAGTTCCAATATTATCCATTATTGTTTCTATCACGGGTACTTAAAAAAAATTCTGTTATACAATCAAGATAGTCTGACACTGATAACTATTACATGTAAAAATAGTGCACTATTTTTCTTTTGCAAAGCGAATTTGCATCCTAAGAGCTGGTAAACACTTTTTGTTCAAAATACAGAAAAAGGTGAGACATTAAAAAAAATTAAATTAAGGCATTCAAAATGGGTAAAGTTGCCTATCATGAAGCATTAGGAAACTGATAGAATTAACTTCAAACTTCTTGTTACAGTAACTGCTTAAACATGATCATGCAGCTTCCATGGGGTATACACAAATGAGGGATAGATACAAACTTCAACGTTATGGCTTTATACAAGTGCATAGTTGCAACTGCAGTTTGTTATGATATCTGATTACTGTATGTAAAAAAATAAATGGGACATTTGAAGAACCCTCTTGCAGTAATACAGTACTATGTATATGTGTGTGTGTGTGTGTGTGGGGGTTATGTATGTATATATACATATATGTACATATATATACATACACACCCCCACACACCCCCACACACACATAGTATAATGGTCACTTCTTAAAGATGCAGTCTCCATCACTGTAGTGGAACCCATTCCCAGACTCTTCTGGTGAATGTGCTGGTGAAATCTCTCTGTTGAAGCTGAAAAGATGATTTCTTTAACTCTTCTCAAGCCTTTTGTGCAATGTAGTGTGAGTGACTGCCAAGAGAGCTTCATGGAACAACTTTGGAAGAGTTGCATGATATTCTTACTCTATTAACCAATCACTGTTGGTTCAACATGTTGCTCCAAAGGAGAGCAGAAAATCTCCAAGATTTATAATTTATATTGCAGGAATAAAGGGAAATATGTGTGTGTGTGTGTGTGTGTGTGTGTGTGTGTATCAGTCTCTCAGGAAAATATAGCTTTTTAAGAAATTTTGGGCCATCATATTTCAGTCTTGTTTTAACTGGAAGAATATGACCACCTTGAATAACAACTGCATTCACAGAAGGCAGCTAGCTGGAAAAAAAGAAAAAACAAAGTTAGTTGATACAGTAAAATACTTTAAGAGAC